TGAACTCGCTAAATCAACCAAATCTCACCTCGCTCCCCTCACCGAACCACAATCCAAACAACCACTGGAACTAATACACTCAGATCTGAGCGGCAAGTTCTCGACTCCTTCTCTGGGCGGTTTTAGTTACTATATCACCTTCATCGACGATTACTCTAGGTACGCTCACCTCTACTTCCTTAAAAAGAAGTCAGATGCAGCAGCTGCCACGGAACGATATATCGCATACATGAAAAATCAATTGGACAAAACGGTTAAACGGTTTCGAAGCGACAACGGTGGCGAGTACATCTCCAATGACCTCCAACAATTCTTTGCCTCCAAAGGCATAAAGCATGAATTCACTGTACCTTACTCTCACGAGTCAAATGGAACAGCAGAACGCTTTAACAGGACTATAGCAACAATGGCACGATCCGCCTTGCTCGACCACAACCTCCCAAAAAATCTATGGGCAGAAGCGATCAACACCATGGTACACGTCAAAAATCGACTCCCGCACAAATCACTCCCGAATATGACACCATACGAAGCACTTACCGGAAAGAAACCCTTTATTGGGCACCTCCGATCCTTCGGCGAAACTATGTTCATACACATACCCGTCGAAGCACGACCAGCTGGAACAAAACTGGATGCTAGGGCTATAACGGGACAATTCTGCGGATACGGAGATTCTGAAAAAATCTGTCGCGTCTACATACCATCACAAAGGAAAGTAGTTCTCTCTCGTCATTTTAGGTTTAAAGGTACATCCGTAGGGGAAGAAATCGAAGTCAAAACAAAAACCGACACACCCCCTAAACCAAAACAAATCGAGATCAAACAAGAACCACCCTCACGTCCGTCAACACCAAAACAACATAGAACATACGACGACGACCCAAGTGACGACGACATGATCAACCAACAAATAATGCGCGAAACCATGGAACGTTTCTCCGACACTGATTCGGAAGACCACGCAAGTATAGTGGGGGCCGGCTATACGAGGCCCGCCACTGAACGTACCCCGCATGATGATAATGAAACAGATACTGATCAACCGAGACGTAACCCAGTACGGGAACGGAAACCTCCGGTCAGATACGGACACAACATTCAGCATGACACTACCCTAACAGAACCAACAAACTACCACCAAGCGATGAACAGTCCTGACTCCGAAAAATGGCAGAATGCTATGAAAGTTGAACTCGACTCACTCGCAAGGAATAACACATGGAATCTGGTCAACACACCGGACCACCGCAAACTAGTTGACTGCAAATGGGTATACAAAATTAAACTCGGGCCCGATGGCAACCCCATACGGTACAAAGCCCAACTAGTCGCAAAAGGTTTCTCACAGGTCCCTGGTCAAGATTTCGATCAAACCTATGCCCCCGTCACCCGATACGAATCCATCAGACTACTCCTCGCTCGCTGCCTTCAAACCGGCGGCCAATGCGATCAGATGGACGTCACAAGCGCATTTCTATACGGCGAACTTAAGGAAGAAATCTACATGAAATCTCCTCCAGGCTATCCCACTCCCGGCAAAGCATGCAAACTAATCAAATGCATCTACGGACTCAAACAATCCTCAAGGGAATGGTATGCCCGCCTCTCAAAAGCGCTAATCAAAATAGGATTCAGAAAAGCAGACTTCGACCCTTGTGTCTTCATACACAAGACAGGGGAAGTTGTCATCGCAATATACGTAGACGACATCCTCATCTTCTACTGGTCCGTTGAACGCAAAAACCGTGTCAGCCTCCTCCTCCACTCTGAATTCGAAATGACGGAAACTGGCACAGCCAACTGGGCACTCGGAATCCACTTGATCCACACTAAGACTGGCATTGCCCTATCACAGGAAGCCTATCTCAAGCGTGTACTTATCAAATACGGCTTCGACGAATCCAGACCTGTGGCAACACCTATCGACAATAACGTCCACCTCCAAAAAGGAACGGAAGCTGAGAAAATCGACGATCCAACAATTTATCAGTCAATAATCGGTTCACTCATGTACGCAGTAATCGGCACTAGACCCGACCTCGCCTACACCGTCACCATGCTTTCACAATTTTCCTCCTGTCCCACCAAGGCTCATCTAGCTGCAGTCCATCGCGTCCTCCGTTATCTTAAGGGCACCCTCGATTGGTCACTCCATTACACCAAAACGCGACCAACTGCACTCATTGGCTACAGCGACGCAAGCTATGCCTCCGACATCGACGATCGCCGCTCATTCACCGGTCACTGCTTCATGCTAGGGGAAGCCCTCATCTCCTGGCGCTCTTATAAGCAACGATCTGTCGCCACTTCTACAACTGAAGCGGAATACATGGCCCTCTCGGACACCAGTCGACAACTGATCTGGTTAAGGAACGCAATCCACGAGCTGGAACGAAAACCAAATCTCTCTTTCATTCTTCGAGGCGACAACAACGGCTCTCTCTCTTTGGTTAAAAATCCTGTCTTTCATAAAAGGTCTAAACACATTGACGTACATTTTCATTTTGTTCGGGAACGGTTTGAGGATGAATTATTTGAACTGGAATATATTTCTACGAACGAGAACGTGGCGGATTTACTCACAAAGGGATTGGATAAAGGCAAACATGTTTTATTTTCTTCTACTATTCACTGTGGCTCACGAGGGGAAGTCTTGAAATAGGGCGCTCGGCACGTTTCATAGTTCTGGAAGATTCTCACCATTTCATTATAGTATTTGTCATCGGCGTATGACTCACTTTCCTATTAGTCATTCTATTTACTCACACGTCCATGACTCATTGTATTTCTCTTTGTACTACCTTTCATTAGTATAAATACGGGGCATTCCCCCTTAGCTAGTACAAAAAACACGATCAATTACTTCACTTCTCCCACACACTTTCTCTAAGTATTCCATATCTCTTCTAGAACAGTCGAATCTACCCGCTGGGCGTTGAGCAAATATAAATTGGTTAATTTTATATATGGTCGGTGAGAGGTATATAGAAAATGGACAGCTTCAAGAATGTTCCTTCTCTTTGTTTCCAGGGAAGACCTTGGAACCCTAATAGGGGGCTTTAGCCAATCCGATATTTTGTTTATGGAAGTTGGACGGAACATCTCTTTCCTTATCAGTTGAAGTATATAGTTGGTTTCTTTGCCAATAGCGCCTTTCCTTTCCATCCTAGATCACCCTTATTTGTAAATTCTTTCCTCATAATTTGTGAGCCCCGCCTGCTTAGAAAATTTAGGTTGTGCCCGTGCTTTAGACGTGTGCTCAGTAACCGGGAAGGACATATATATACAACCTATACAATATGCGCAGTTAGCAAAGTTCCTTTTCTTTATCTTTTCACCAGTATGGCATTGGCTTGATGTGAAATCGCAAACGTGTTTGTTGTATACGACAGTCCTTTGAGCTCCAATGAGTAACTGAAGGCGTCCAATATCTCTCACACACTCTGATAGTCTCGCATATCGTACAAGTGAACCCAGGTTACGTATACGTTATAACGTGATATTCTCTAGTTTGGAACTTGAGTCCTCGAGACGTGAACGATCAGCGACACGATGCAGAATTCACGTCCAGCTAGTACCGAATGGTTAACAACATGTAGGCAAGTAACGTAACCGAACTCGGACCTATTCGATTTCATCATTGTCAATCTGCGTAATCAAAGGTCAAGACGGAAACATACAGACAACTCATCCACTTTCATGGCTTTCAGTCGTCTTTCGCAGTTCTTCCACCGAGAGCCGAAGGTGAGTCTCGTAGTCGTCCGGCCCCAGCGTCAATTTAGCAGCTGATAGTAAACAACCCCTAGGGCCCCTATGATCTTGCAGCTGTACTTTTGGTTGACAATTCTTCGAGTCTCAGACTCCCGTGATAAAAAACATTAGAGGAAGGATCGTAAGTGACCTTTGGCGTAATTTACGTGATGGAGTATGATAGAAAGATGAACTGGCACATGGGAAGTACGTACACTCCGAGTAAGGCCACGCCGTGCGCAGAGCCTCTTATAACGTCTCATTAATCAAGCGTCCGCTTTTCGTGCCAACATATATGCGCATGCACGACGTCATAGGGGTACTAATATTCAAAAAATGAGAGAAAGTGAATTGAGGTTGATCAGCTGAGCCTGAGGCACTAACTTTCTAAATCAAACTAGTTCAAGTTTTAACTCGAGATTATTCTAATGATCAGGCGATCGAGCGATAACTTGCCATAAGAAGTTTCCCATTCATCAATAAATAAATAAATATAGATGAGCAATTATTTACCATACGCCAAAAGCACGAGGAAAGAATTTTTACCAACCTCAAATCTTGGGATTACGCCATCATAAGCTGACGCGTTCCAGCCCTTTACAGCGATTGTTAACGGTAGGAAGACAGGATAACTGCAAGTACGTGTCATATTCCGTTAATTCGAAATTCTCGTGCATGGGAGTCACCGAATGTCACTCGGCCTTGGAATTGTTGGCATATTAATCGATCGATCAAGCTAATAATTCGATTCGTGCATAAATGTACGTGTGTAAATGTTTCTGCATACCTCCCTCATGTAGATAAATTTCGGGTATTTGGTCTATAGTTTATCCTGTAAGACACTTCCTGCATGGCGTTGAAACCTAACTAGTTGGATTTTCAATATGTTTATTTAGTATACTCATAATTGGTTAAAGTTCTCACGTACGTCAGATTAAGTATCGATGATTGGACCCAATTTGCATGCGTATATTATATCTCTCCACTCGATGAGCCTCTTTTGGGCCCTAAAGGCACATGGATCGACTGCTTTTCAAATGCAATGACAACTCATATGCGTGTGTATGAACATGATAAACATAGGCGGTATTACATAAACATCACAGATGAGCCTCTTATTTAGAGTTATATAAATTATAAGCTCTCAAGCCAGCTAGATATACATTGATCAGTCACTACGCATCAGCAAAATCATCTCCCACAACACATCACACGAGCTCGGTCGGTCTTACATTACAACAGTCAAAATGGCTCCTAGAGGAATGGAACCCGAAGGCATGACGTTGGCTAAACTCCAAAAGGGGTTGACTCTGATGCTCAAAATCCAAGAACAATGCAAAAGATGGTGTTTCACTGAAGAGGTTACTGTTAACACTCAATCATCTCCTAGACGTTGAAACTAACTTTACCTTAGACGTTCGTCGGAATTGTCGAAGGAGAAACATCCTCCACTCCTGAAGAAGATGGGCGTGCTGCTATCTTAATGAATGTGATAGCACTGTCGTCCAGCCTTTGCGGCATCAAACCACTACAAACGTTAAAGGATATCATTGGACATGATTACTGTTTGCGTATTAAGGATATGAGGAATAGTGCAGGGCACGAGTATTCCAATATTCCCGGGAAAAATAACGTTAATTATGGGGATATGTGGAGTTTTATTGATAAAGATTTCCCCCAGATTATGGTCAAGCTTGAGGGGGCTATCAAGGAAAGGGAACCTTCTACTGCCGCTGTCCTTTAGTTGTCGATGTTGTGTACCTTTGTTTTACAATTACTGTTATGAAATCTTGGAGGGGGATCAAGAGATATATGTTTGTATGTTATTCAACTCGCACTAGCTATCGTCAACCAAATTAAGCTACCTATAACGACCCACAATTCTAGTTTATTTGACACAAACCCAATAATCGATGTTGTCTAATGATTGATAAATAGTACACTCGCTCAGAGGGTGATGACTCTTCTATCATAGAGGATAAAATTTGAAGGGAATAACATAGTAGAATTAACTAGCTCTATTTCTAGCGATACCACGTTCAATCATATTGCATCACGAGGTAGAATCAACCATCTGCTCGTGGGCGAGTGCACCACTAGCGCAATTTGGTTGATAATTATTAACTCAAATTCATCAAGTTCTCTTGAAATATCACATGCTACCTAGGATATAAATATTCGTGACGAGGCGACACAGCAACGAACGTCAGGCGAGATGGGTTGGTACATGCTGGGCAGGTAGAAACGAAAGTCATCTTCGTATCACCAGAGGGCCAAGCAGTAAATTGCGGGCCCCCTAGGAGTTGTGACTGTGTCAACCGTAGTGATACTCTTATAGATGATCCTTATGGCCCTTCCACCCGGCCAGTACCAATTAGCAGGGCAACTACTAGCTATCCGCAGCAGGCATGATACAGTAAACGTTATGTAATGTGGACGCTAATTTGATACTGCTCGCCACAATCTAATCATTGTGCCATTGTAGTCCTAGCTTGAGGGTAAATTATTTATCGAAAGTTCACCACACAGTAGCCAGTAGTAGTAGGCGACCTTGTGACCGGTGGTTCGCTACCAGCTTCAGGTACGAGCACTTTCTGGTCTATTGACAAAGGAACTAGTTAGGGAAGCAGGACTGAAGAGTCGCACGCTTGCCAGTAACTGGAAGGCCAGTCAGAGCTAGACTTTGATATTACTGGTGTTTCTCGTTGTCAGGGTAAGATATAGGTCTAAAGGAATCCACAACCGATTATTGAGGATGGTCTCACTGGATACATGTCAGTAGTGATTTTGTGACGGGATGTACTGATAGAACCACGGCCTGTCGTTGACCTAAAGTACCTTTGTCCTCGGTTCTGATCGAAGAAAGGAAAGGACAAGTATCCGAGTCGGAGGTCTTCTCAAGTATATACGATTTTGTCTGGATCAACTTTTTTGGAGTTGCCCTATCAAAGACTACAAACCACCGAACTTCTATAAGGAAACTAATTAGATATATCTCGTATTTGGTATTTTCCACTCAGAAGGTTCGTTAATATAAAATCTCTTGAAGTCACTTGTCATAATACTTTCTTCCATTGAAGTACCGGTTACAGGTAAATTTCTTCGGAACTCATAATTTAGGGTACTTCCCACTGAAAGCTGCCATTAGATATCACTCTTTTTCGCATTCAAGATTCTACCTGATAGACGCCAGTATTGAAGTTATATAGTTAGAGCGTTTTTAATATTAGTGGGCAATACCGGTAGAGAATATTCCCGTTAGGGATGAGGTCAAAAATCATCATAACTGTAAGCGATATTATCGCTCAATTGAAGTCCGCTTTTGTTAATTACCCGGGGATAGACCTCCGAGTGTTTCAAGGGATTCTAGAGGGGAACTAGTTGAATTTTCTACTAACAAATTAAATTTTGGAAGGCAAATGTTCAGTGAATTACTAATACATTACCTATTTTGTTTAGGATTTATCTGTTTCTTCTATCCCTTGTTTGCGATGAGATATATTCCCGTTCTTACAAATTTTCAAGCGTTAAAAAACCAGTAGAGAGTTCCTTTAGCCGACATTTTAAATTCAGTAATATGGGAGGTCAAACAATTATTGAATTTTTTCCTGATATCTATTAATGATTATGCTTTTCATATTCATCATGTGCTTCGACTGTTACGGGGCCCCTAATAAGCTGATAGGTATCGTGGAATACTAATAATTTAAGGAAAAATAGTACTGGTAGTGGTAATTAGCTACCAACTACGAGGTATCTATATTCTAAGCTATTGAGGACATGGATCTATTTTGAGAGGAAGAATTGATGAGTTCCTAGCTCTAACAGGACAGGTTCTGATCGGATGCGACTCGGGACACTTTCGAATAGACAGGTATAAGGAACAGGACAAGCTTGAGGAGGAAGCTGAAGTATTCAAAGTGTACGACCTGAATCCTGGGATTCAAGAGGATCAGGTTCGTGTAATGAGATCAAGGACTGGGTTAAAGTAGCTAGCAGGTAAAGGAGCGAGGAAAAGGTAAATGTAAAGGTTTTTATGTTGCTTTGAAGTACAAGACTTATCGCACACTAAACTGAACTGCCTAAATAAACAAAAAACAAAAAGAAAAAAGACAAAGAAAAGAGATCAAACAGAATAATATATCAAGAGAGAGAGACAATAGAAACAGAAAACCAACATATGGAGAAAGCCTTCGAAAATCATCAACCCTACATATCCTCTCCTTCATCCATTTTGTACCACTTTAGTAGCTTGTCGCCCTAGCCAATTCAAAAATCAAGTGTTCTTTGAAGTTTGTGAACATCCAATTTTCTCATTTTTGTTGCCTAAGAATATTCTCAATAAGAAGTCTTTGTATTTGACCACAGCATAGGCAGTCTATAAGGGTATATCGGGCTGACTGTTCAAGTTCAGCTCTGAGTTGGCATGCTTCAAGTTCAGGGTATATTCAAGCTGAATGTTTATCTCAATAGGTAGACTGTAATCAGGTTCGGTATAGTTATTTTGTTTTGGTTAGTAGGAGTTGAGTAAGTTTAGCGTATAGTTTAAGGCTGCTAGGATCATGGTAGTGGAGAATGAGATGTTCATTTTATTCTTCTATCATTCATTTCCTAAAAATGTTTAAGGAACTATGGGCGAGAAATAACTCTAGCGGTTGAGGGACAACGAGAGGGCTTGTAATAAACGAAGTCAACGGTGTACGCCAGTATGTGAACGGTGATTCGTTTTGAAATAGGGCACTCAGCACGTTTCATAGTATTGAAGGATTCTCAACATTTCATTATAATATTTGTTATCAGCGTATGACTGACTCATGTCTCACTTTCCTATTAGTCATTCTATTACTCACACGTTTATGACTCATTGTATTCCTTTTGTACTACCTCTCTTTAGTATAAATACGGGGCATTCCCCCTTAGCTAAAACAATAACATGATCAATTACTTTATCTCTCCTACATACTTTCTCTAATTCGTACGCAATCGAGTACGACAGCATAGATCTTAAAGGGACGTGTAGCGAGTATTCCACAGGGTACATAATGTGAGGGTATAAATGGACTAAATAGAGTAGGAAGGAAATCCCACAATGGGTTCTGATATGGAGAAGGGTCAAAGTGGTCAACAAAGTACTAGTACGGCGCAATAGTCTTTTCAATTGCAAAGAGAGAATAGTATTATGAAGTAGAAAACAGCTTACTTACAGAAGACATTGCGTATAGAAGGAAAGTGAGAGAAAGAGAACAGAAGTGAGGGCAACACCTACTAATATACCCAAGGAAACCCTAGCGATAACAAATCTGAAGTGACTCATATCCTTGCGATCAACAGAACCATATAGAAACTCATAGAACTTTTCTGACTAATCCAACTCTTCGTAACCCAGCGTGCGAACTCATCGATTCATGAAAGTAAACAGCGAGGGTCGTTGCGATCGAAGGGGGAGCAGCAATGATGATGAATATCACAAGTGGAACAGTGAGGGTAGAGAGTACCCAGAGAAAAGCGATGATGACAGAGATATTCATTTAGGACAACAGACATAACGTGACTTTAAGTAGAGTGTATATTGAAACGAAGTAAATCCCCAAAGATGATAATCCAAAGTATAATACAACATAAATAGATATTTATATTGCTTTAAAGTACAACACTTATCGTTTGCCAGCATCCACTATTAAACAAAAAGAAAGAAAAAAGGAAAAAGACGCTGAAAGGAAATCAAAGAAGAGTCGTCTAAGTTTAAAAAGGTAAAAAAGGAGATAAAAGAAAACTGGGCGACATTATTCTTTTGGATCCTCCTCGTCCATTTCACACCAGTCGAGTGGGTTCATTTTTGCTGTACATTGTAGACCCGGTGTATATTGAGGTTTGTAAAAGTCAGTTTTCCCAAATGAGTGGGCCCAGGACATTATTAATCAGTAGTATTCGTATCTGTAACCATGGAGGCCATTCGATAATGGTGTGTTTTGATGATTGCTCCATGCCTCATTGGCATGTTTCGGGGTCCATATATGCTGCGTGTCTGTCAAGCCTGATAGCTTGACATCATATGCAGTGTATGAGTTTTGATTTGGATAGTGGGAGTTATGAGAGTTTGGACTATTTTTTGAGGGTTCCAGGTTGCTGGTAGTTAGTCCATGGTATAGAGTTCCATTCTTCCATTATTTGTTTGGTAAGGAGATCGTTTGTATCCATCGATCTCTGTTGTTGCTGGATTCATGGATGGGTAACATCAGCGATGTAATCCGATGGAGGCCATTTCCTTTAGTCTGTTTTGTTTTGGTGGGCAGGAGTTGGATAACTTCTGAATTGAGTAGGTGGTCAGCAGGGTAGAAGAGTATACGGGTTCCGTATTTTCGTGAGTTATAGTTGAGGACGTGTTCAAGGGGAGGGAGTGATACCTCTTTGTAACGGCAGCTATGCAGTTCAGCTCGGCAATATGTTAGAATAGGAAGAGAAGGTATTGCGCAGGGGATTAAGATTTGTAATGAAAATTTCTATTATGTTCTTTCAGTTTCTGTTACGCAGAGGTATGAGTCATCATCGGACAAGGGTATTGGATAGATAAAGGGGTATTGTCTCGTGTCAGTTCTTGTTTCCTTTCCTTCTCTTTTCTCCTCATGCAACCTTTGTATCTTACCCTCGCAACACCAAAACTTTCGATCAAACAATACTTTTGGCCTGCACTCCCGATAAAACTTTTACTCGAACACGATCCTGTATGTCAGTAGACCACGTAAT